GTATGTATGTATGTATGTATGCATATATGTATGTGTGTACGTATGTATGTATGTATGTATGTATGTATGTATGTATATGCACATATATTTATATGTGCCTATATATACACATCTACAAATATATCTATATCTATATCTATATATATATATATATATCGGCCCTCATCGCACCGCCCGAGTCGTACAGAAGGGCTCTGGTGGACGCCCTCGGCGAGGCGCAGCTGCCCGAGCATTCCCAGGCGAGAAGAAACCCAAGGACCAAAAACTTCCTCCAAGAGCTAATTGCCCCAGCGGAGCGCTTTTGAAGAGCTCTTCTAGCCACTCACGAATTATTCTAGCCACTATTAGAACCCTCCAGCAAAAAGGCAATGGAAGGAAAACAGCGACAGTAAGACGTCGACGTTGCCGATACCCCACGGGCCGATCACCTCCCCACTCGGCGCCCCCGGCTGACCCAGATTTCCGACGGATCGACTTCGTTCAGTCCGCGGGGTGAGGGGCAAGGTCTTTTTGGGGGAGAGCTGGCGCAGGGAGAACTTTTCACGCCGTCGGGGCGCCCGGCCGCTGCGATGAGCAGATAGGCGGCCGACGCCAACGCCGACGCCGCCGACGCCGACGACGACGCCGATGACGACGCCGACGACGACGACGACGCCGAGAATCCCGGCGCCCCAGGAGCTCCAGCGCGATGCCGCCGCGCTCCGTGCCGCCGCCTCTGCGCGCCGCGCGGGCGCCGCCGCGCCCGACCTGGCCGGCTGCCTGCAGCGCGCCTTCCCGTTCCCGGCGCTGCGGCGCGCGGGCGGCAGCACGAGAGCCGAGGCCGCTCCGCAGGAGGAGGAGAAGGCGGAGGAGGAGGAGGAGGCGGAGGCGGAGGCGGAGGAGGAGGAGGAGGGGGAGGAGGGGGAGGAGGAGGAGGAGGATTCTGCTGGATTCTGCTGCCTCGCCACCCACGTGGCCTACAATCCTCAGTCGCTCACCACTGTCCACCAGCGCCGCACTATCCAGCAGCTGCTGCTGCTGTAACTCCTCCCCAAGGCTGCGATCCTCCGCTCGAACCCTGGGCGTGGGCGGTCCGCCTGCACTCAAGCACGCCTCCGCTCGGAGGCGTCCGACCGTCGCTCTCAGGGCAGCGGTCGCAGCAGCAGAGGAGCCAGCAGTTGGCGGCGGCGGCAGGTCCTGCAGGGTCATCGCGTCGGCCTTCTCGCTCGGATGGCGGTCGGCCGACGTGCGCAGGTACTCACACACTGGAGCACCGAGCACCTGCGCCATTGACCTCGACCCCTCGCTCAAACTCTCAGTTCCTTCCTGGGAGGGCGCGGGGCCAGCTCTGCTCGCAGCGTCGCACGCCTGGGCGGCAAGCACGCTCTTGGGCGGGCCACGGTGCGACGGAAACAGACCTCTACGAATTCGAACCAGATTCTCACCCCCTTTCTTGGTAGGGGGAGCACACTCGGACTGAAGCCTCCTGCCGTCTGACGTGGCAGTGAAGCCGCAGAACATACAAAAAACTAAATTGAAGGCCTTCATTTTGGCCAGCGTGTGTGACGGGTGGAGAACAACTCCGCCGACCGAGATCTCTCCCAGGACCGCCTCAAATCCCTTTCCGTACTCAGGGGGGGGAGCACGTTCATCTTCCGCGCCCAGCCCAAAGGCGGCGGGGAGAGGGACACACTGGGTCGAGGCAGCCTTCGGCACCTTACACCGAGGGAGGATGAGGTGGCAGAGTCGGCATCTCCATCGTCCAGCAAACGGAACAAACTTATGCTGACTGGCCTCTACCGCGCGCCAAAACTTGCTCTTGCGCGGGGGTTTCTTGACACTCGTCGGACGCACACCAACCCACGGTTCAACCTCGAGCGCCAACAACAAGGCCCTACGGGCACGGAGCCTGACTAACGCCGCCGTCGTATCCCAGAGGTCCGTCTGGGGGGCAGGATACGTCACGCACCACTCCCAGCTCCAGGCAGCGGCGAAGCCAGCCCAGGTGTCGGCGGCGGCGTTGCCAAGACTCGGGAACACATCGGATTCAGTCTTGACCGTCTGTAAATCTTCCTCCCTGTGCGACGAGGTCCAGAGCAAAGAAACATCCCCAGGGCCACGGGCCTCAAGGCCCCGTCCCGCACGGACCCAGAGATCACCGTTTTGGCCCCGAGGAGACTTGGCACGCCCAGCATGCCAGTCAGAAACCAAGCTCTTGCAGTCGGTCACGTAGCAAATAGGTCCGACCGAACTCTCGAGAGCTAAACAAAACGCCTGAAGCTCAGCACGAGGCGCTGTCTGCTTCCTACCAACTAGCACCTGGGCGACTCCACAAACAGGGCTCCAGAAGGGCGACGAAGGATCCTGGCTCATAACCACAATGGCCGAGCCGCATCTGCGCCTCCTGGGATCCGAACTGTTCTCGCCTCCAGAGCCGTCTCCAAAGACGTACAAGGGTGGGGCTCCAGGGGCAACACCGTGGTCCAAGACAGAGCCAGCCCCCAGAAGGATCTTTTGGGCCACCTCAGGAGCCTCAACGAACTTGGGCACCACGAGGTCCTTCGGGGGAACTCCGCGGAGCCACAGCGCTGGCTGAGCGTCGAGGCTCGCGAGCGCTTGAGGCACTAGAAAATCCGTTTTGACAAAGTCATCGTGCCCGCAATTCGCGGGGCATGTCCAAATGCGATGCGCCAGAGTCTCTGGCCTTTCTTTACAGCGGGGGCAGAGCAGCGGGCAGGCGTAGCCTGCAGCAGCCTGCCTCTCACGAGTCCACTGGCCGCCCCCGATGACGGCAAGGTCCGCCGACCACTCGTCGAGCTGCAGCTTCTTGGCGAACCGAATCAGCTCGATTGTCACCGTGGTCATGTCGGCGCCATACGCTAAGTCCTCTCCCGCCTCGTGCTGCGAGGCGGCCCGCCACTGCTGCGTCGAACAATCGTCCATGAAGGCGCCGAGCATATCATCAAAGTGCGCCAATACAGCGGCGCCGAATTGCTCGTCGCCAAAGCTCGGGAACAGCAAATCATCGATGGTGCCATCCAGCAGCGGGCGGGACCAGACCAGAGGGGATATAGGATCCCAGCCAGCCTGAAGCAGGGTCGCCTGCAAACGCTGCGATAGGTCCACGTGCGTCTTTCCATCTGATGGCTCTCCCTTGCTTGAGCTTGGACAACACCAGCGGCCACGCTTTCTTGATCCTGGGATGCAGGCAAGGCTGAGTCAACCACAAGGACATCCATTCACGCAGCAGCTGTCGTCTCAAATCAATGCCAGGGCCAGCCGTCCCATACACAGCCTGCAGTGCGGAGTTGGGACACCTGCCCTTCTTAGGGCCCGCCACTGCAGCAGCCGCACCACGGCGCATAGCCAACAGCGTAGGAAGAGGGGTTCCCATAATCTGATGGCCAAAAACAGCAGACGGGTAAACACCCGTGTTCCACACTTTCTTCGTAACAAAACGAACTCGGCCGATGCGTCGTACCTTCATGACCTTCCGTTGTCTGTGCCGGGCCTGTGCACGCCTCTTATTCGTGCGAGGGGTGGCCCTTTTGCGAGCAGCGGCAGCATCTGAACCAAGGTCAACTGTGGCACTCGCATACTCAACTGGGACCCCTTTCTTCTTCAAACGCTTCTGCAACTCACGTCCGATGTCATCGCTGCTGGCAACCAATTTAGTCTTCGAAGAAATCCGCAATCGTAACTCGGCCAAGCCCGCAGCCATCACCTCAGCCGCAGCATCCAGATCGGCAAGCACCTTCTGCTTGGAACCCTCGCCACGGCAGACTACGTCGCCAATGTAGCTCCAAAGGCCAGCAGGGGGAACCGCGCGGTGTGCAGTTTCCAGAAGTCTGTGCAACATGACCTTGGCCAGTGGAACTCCGTGCCCTGATCCTGCAACTATCGACCTGGTCACCTCGATCGTGTCGGAAATCATCTGGCAATAGCCGAGGGGCCGAGTACAGGCAGATCTCAAGCAATAAAATTATCGGCGGAAGCCCGATATCCAACCCAGCCATCATCGGCAAAACGAAGCTCGCTGCGTGCTCGAAGGACATCTCGTGGGCGCCCTCGTCCAACGCAGCATGTGTTAGCGCCGCCCTCAAAGCCGAAGATCCCGCTATAGCAGTATCCCATAAGGCTGAGAGAGAGAGGCCGACCATTCGCAAGTCTCCAGAGAGCGAATCTTGGACCACACCTTGTGTAGCATTGGAACAAGTCGAAAGATTCGATATTCACCTGCCTCCTTCGGAATGGCAGCCCCCAGTGCCGTGCTGACCGCCGAAGGCCAAGCGCCCGCGGCTTCGACGGCGTTCAGAATGCCCGCGAAAAGTTGCCGAACACGTGCAGGTTGTCGCTGAATATCCAGTGGGCTCATGGCATCAACTCCTTTCGTCTTGCCCGCAGGTATCCTGGGCAGGGCCATATCCAGATCCAGCAAGGTAATGGCAGGAAGCGGGTCAACCCGCGCAGCATCCAAACATTTCCGCATCATATCACACATTTGCTTCGGCTGGTCCACTGGGTCGGTCCACATCGCCGTCCACTCGGCAGCCAGGCCTTGCAACATCTCTTGGCAATCGGAAGTGACGGTGCCTGAGGGGTCCTTACTCTCCCAAACAGGGGCCGCGGCAGGCTTGACATGCCTGTGAAAGGCCCCTGGTTTGGTGGCCCACATATCCTGGGCCCATCTCATGAACTGAGACCTGGGGGCCATCATGGCCCTTTCGTTCGAGAGGTCGGTCCACCTGCGTATTCTCTCGAGCACCTCAGGCAAGGGCTGAACGGGTGCCAGATCCAGGTTTGCGACCATACCTTTCCAGGCGAAGATCTCCAGGGGGTCCTGCTGCTTGCCGAAGTAGATCACGTCGTCCACCCCGTCCAGCTGCTCGATCAATTTGCGCGCGCAATCAGCGCGCTGGGCGGCTTGGTGGGGGTCAGGCGCGTTGTTCCTGAGCACGACGTAGCGAATGACAACCGTGCTCGTCTGCCCCCACCATTCAGTCTGCTCGTTCCGCACGTGGGCACGCCCAGGTGTAGCACGCACAAGCTTCCAGCAACAAGAAGGGCCTCCCGCGCGGCCCGAATACTTGTACCATTTGTCTGAGTCCACTTTCTCATGTAATAGAACCGCCCTCTCCATAACCGTAATCCAATGCGCGTGCTGCTCATCCAGAGAGGTGCGGCCTGCCGCTTGCCACTCGAAGGTGTAATGGTGGGCCCGATCGAAGGGGGCATGACGGCCAGACACCTCGGAGGGATCACAGTTGTGAAGTGCATGAACTCCTTCCCAGCGTGCCTGAGCCTCGGCCTCCTCCCAGATCTCACCGGGCACATGAAGCGCCGCCTTCTCAACAGGCAGCTCCGCTGGAGGATGCAGTTCCTCGAAGGCATCGTGGAACTCTGAAGGCAGCTCTTGGCGTCTGCGCTGCCTGGCTGCCTCCTTCTTCTTCGCAGTCTTGCTCTCAGGATCAGGAAGTGCTCGAGGGCGCTCACAGGGCGGCAGCGGAAGCGGCAGCGCCAGGTGTCGGTACCACCTTCGAGTACGCACCGCCTTCACAACGATATTGACTCCACAATGGGTCTTCCACGGCACAGACAAGTCAGGGGTCATAACCACCTCGGGGCAACTTCTTCCAACCAGGCCGTAGTCATACATGCGACCAGGGCCCTTTTCGCAAGTCGTGCGGCACGACGGTGTGACAATCCTCGTGCCGAGGCGCTCGGGCCAACCTGCGGCTGCGAAAGGGGCCTGGCTCGATGATCCAGTCCGCCATGATCAGATACGGGTCCGCCAGGGACCGAACAAAGGCCCCCAATGCCACCAGCGCGCCATTATTCCATCCTTTCACTCCCAGGCCTGGCAAAAGGCATGCGGAGATAAAAACCAGGTTGCCCGCCTTGGTGCGCAGCGCGATCGGCGCGAACCCGCGGCAGGGGGCCAGCCTTCCAGCATTCGCAGACGCGCGGCGAGCACTCTCAAAGCTCGTCGCCGCAATATGCTTCTTCGTTAGGATCCACTCCCCGCCAGAGGGCCCGCTCTCCGACTTGCCCGAAGGGCGCGCAGCCGTATGGGCGAGCCTCCAGCCATCCTTGTCCAACCCTGCGCAGATGTCAGGCATGTCGAACTCACCCTTGTGCGTCTCGCAGAAGCCCACAACGCTGCGCTCAGACTCACGCGAAAGGAAGCGCGCAGCCTGCGGCCCCCACTCCGCGATGTTGCCGAAGAGAATTGTGAGCGAGCCATCCTCTGAACGAAGGTGCGACGTCGCCCGTGGGTCGTCGTCACAACGATGAGGTGCTCGCGGTGAATCGCCCCACCACTGCGGGCTCCTCAGCGCGGGGCTAGGAACCAGATGTCCCAGCGCCAGCAGCAGGCACAGCGGAGGCGCCGCCACCCTTGCCCAAGCCCTTGGCCTCCTTGGCCTGGGCCTCCGAGTTGGCGGCGAACTTGACGCGCATGTCCCTGCGCACCTCTTCCGAGAAGACGGCCGAGGAGCTGGGCGCCTGGCTGGGCGAAGTGGGCGCAGCTCCGCCTGGCGGCGGCTGCGCCGCAGGCAGCCCTCCAGCGCCCCCTTCGCCTCGGACCGCGCCACCGTCCTCATTACGGCGGCGCCGCTTGGTCGCGGCCTCTCGGTGGGCGTTCTTCGCCTGGTCGAGGAGCGCCTGAAACTCCTTCTGCTTCGCCGTGGCCTGCTTCGAAATGTACTCGAGCTGCTTCTGGAAGGTCTCCAGCGCCGCCCTGTCGGCATCCTCCAACTCGTCCAAGGACTCGAACAAGGAGGGGTCCACAGCGAAGGTGATGCCATCGGGCGTCTTGTCGGGCGGCTTGCTGACCCGCTCCTGGGCCAGGAGGCGCGCGCACTCAGCCTCGACCATCTCGTCCGTGGCCTTCTCGAAGGCCGCGTTCGCCTTCTCCAGCTGCAGCTTGGCATGCTCGACCGAGCGGGCGGCCCTGTCCAAGGCCTCCTGCTTGCGCGAGCACTCCGCCGTGGCCTCCTTAAGCACCGAGTTCGCAGGCCTCGGGGCCGAGGCGGGCTTCTTCGCCGCCGCGAGGTTCTAGAGCTGCGACGCGAGCCTGGCCGCCTCGGGATCCTTACCCAAGCCCGCCGTCTCCGTCGCCTTGGACATGTAGTCGTCCAGCGAGGGGGTGGTAGGCAGCTTGGGCCAGTCAGACTGACTTCCCCACCACGGCGCGTACCATGTACCACTCGCCGTCGTCGTCCATCCTGGCTGCTTCGTGCCGCAGATGGCGCAGGCCCCGTTCTGACGCTTGAGGCGCCAGTTCCAGGCCCAGTTGCCACACGCCGCGCAAGTCGTAAACGCATTCTTTCCACCACCCATCGATGATCCGGCAGGAGCTCACAGAACTTGCTCCAGCAGGAGCTCACAAAATCACTGAAGACTGCCGCGGACTAGCGGTATCCACGTGTTCCCCTGTGGAACAATCATCTTGAACCAAAATGGCTACGGAGGAGGAGGAGGAGGAGGAGGAGGAGGAGGAGGGGGAGGAGGGGGAGGAGG